AATAGGAGCATCTACTATATCTGTTATATCTGGGAATACAAGATTGAACCTTTTAAAACAAATTGTGTTCTTGGCTATTGTAAATTAGATGTGTTAAGTGTACTCTTTCAGTGATGCTACCAACATCCTGATACTCTATTTTAAAAAAGGGGTAAACATATGAAAGGAAAGGAGATAATGATAAAAATAAGAAGGTTTAGGCTGATGAGAGATGATGGTAGGTAATGAAAGTTAATGAAATTGTTGCAGAGCAGTTGTACTCACGCCCCCTCGTCTCTAAGCAGAGACAAGAATTTGGTCACTCTGTAATCTGGATCCATCTAGAGACAACAAAATAAAGACGGAGAGGAACTGAAGAGTGGTAGAAATAGAAGGAAAAGGTTCACACTGAATCATACAGTCACATCTCATATTTCCTAACGACATTAGGCAGTGACACTAGGATGCTCCATTACATCCCTAGAACTCTTTCTAAGGCTCTAGTCACTATGCTAGTCAATTCTAGCTTGATTGTATTTGTAATAACCTGATAAATACTGAACAGTTAAAATAGTTTTGGGCCACAAATTGTCTCCAGCAATGTCATCTTTTGGAAAATATAGCAAACAACACAATTTAGATGGGTACACAAGCCCTCTCAAGGTCTAGTAAATGGACCAGTTAGAATTTCTATTGCTAGTTCCCAAACTACTGCCTATCACCAAGCAAACTTTAAACCATCAGTCAACTCGTCTGTCACACTACAGCTCACACACAAAACTTTTTCAATATGTCGCCTTGCTTCTCTACCTGCATTGACATCTCGATGAGCACGAGGAGTTTCTTAATGCCTATCCAGACCCGCTTTCCTTTGAGTTGATGTGCGATGCTGGCCCGCTCTTTGTCTGTGAAGCTTCCCAGTAGCTGCAAAGACAATAAAGCCAATTCAAGCAGCACTTAAAGTCTCTGGTATAAGTTATGGAAAAACATGCTTTTATTTCAGCTTTAGCAGCTAGGCTTTTATTTTCAGTTAAATAGGTTTTTCACCACAAGATTTCTTGTTTTTGTATGCGCATGCATTTATCCTTTTGGGAATGGGGTGGTTATGTATAATTCAGCACCTTCACCTCTGAGTGCTAGTTTAAGTGCACAATTATGATTATTTTTATCTTTAAGCAATAAAACATGCATGCTGACCTATTCTAAAATGAACGTGATTTTTTTCTGTTGTCTGTACTGTATGTTGTGGCCATTTGTGCGTCTGAAACGATGGGGCCATCTCACCTCCAAGGCATCGATTAGCTGGTCCCCAGTAGAGATGTTGGGGATATGGATGGTGGTGCTAAAAGCATCTAACATCTCCATCTCCTGTAGGACGTCCTTCCTGCTGGTGGTGCCGATGATGAGCAGCTTCCGGCCCTGCAGGAGGTTTAAATTACTTGTTTCTGTGGGTTGTTGATTACAACATAAATTACAGCAAATTATCCAGTTATTTTCTGTGCTTATGAATGATCAATTTCTTCATTAAAGGTCTTACAAGCCCTGTGTGGACTTTATTTTTACAAAAGGTTTTTCTTGTTATTAGTAAATTTACTACCATATCTCATGTCACAAAACTTTTCAGAAAAACAAACACAGTTATGTCCATCATTACCTACAGATAGAGCAGGGCGATATGACCAAAAATATTTATCACAATATATATTTGAAAATTTGCGATAACGATATAACTGACGATATAATTGATGCGAGACAAAATTCAACTCCACAACTTTACTAGCGCAAAAAAACATCCATTTATTTTCACTTAAACAAGCAGCTGTTTTTTAAGCATTAAAGCTATATAACAATTTAACAGTGCAAATGTAAATTCCTTGCTGAAAGTTTAACCAAAAGGCATTTCCAGTAGAAATGGGCTGACATATCCTGAGTATAACCATGTATAATATCTACTGAAGTTAAAAAGAGGTGCATTGCTACATTAAACTGCAGTGTGCCAGATAAAAAAGTCAAATACGTATTTCTCGGACCATAAGGTGCACGGGATTATAAGGCACATTAAGCGAAACAAAGCAGTCAGATAAATCAAACTTTATTCAACTCATTCTTCTTGCTTCCTCCACTTCCGTACCATTAATTCATTAATGCTGTATTCTATCACAGCTGCTCTATTCCTTCAGTAACTCTACAAACGTCACTGCTGTTTAGTTTCCTGTCTTCATTTATGTTGGAAATGATAGCAGAGCTGTACGTTTGAATCTTTTCAGAAATCTCTCAGTCAGAACATGCTATATCATGTTTAGGTAACTAGCAAAACTAGCGCGCTAAGTTCCGCTAGCTTCCTGCTAACTTCTAACTCCGTTAAATGTAATAAATTCTGTTTTCATGGATGCCTGGCTGTTAAACTTCATAGTCACACCTGGTAAAGCAGCAATGCTGATCGTTTTATTAAAGATGAAAGAATTTAGATAGTTTTTAACTCTCAGTGATGCTGTGTGTTCGTTTGACTTTGGGGCCTGAAGCGGAGTTTAGGACCCAGATTACTCCCAGATTTACGAGCACCTTAGTCCTACAAATACGGCAATAACGACGGCCGCTTGCATGTTCTACAAAAAATGTGCTTTGTTTTGTATCTGACAAACACCAAACCAGTTCCACATCACTGATCTTGCACCATTTTTACAAACCAAATTCTGGTTCATCCGTTTCACTCAACAATCGGCGCGTTTTTCTCATATTCTATATTCTATATTTATCTGTTCTTTGCTAAGCTGTAACCTAGCTTAGCTTAGCACAAAGCCTATTAATGGGGGAAATTAGCTAGCACTTCTATTGAAAACTAATCAAATCCACATGCCAGTACTTCTCTTGCTAACTGGCAAACAATGAATTTTAGAAGGATAAGTGGCATAAAGTGGTGTAACCTACCTACTGGACAGCGACGGACTCATTTTTACTGCCCGTTTTTGAGTATTTATGCTAAACTAAGAAAATTATCTAGCTAGCTGAAGATACAGATGAACTTTTCTACCTGTATGCACGAAACTAACTAATTTCGCTGACATTGGATTTGCTTTATATTTTTCTTATTATCACCAGAATATCATAGAAAGACCAGAACTACGTATAAGGAAACATACATGTTGGTGCCACAAAGACTATAGACAATAGAGATAATGTCACTCCATTCTTTATAAAGCTAGAGATATCATTATTGTAGTATTGCAATAAATAAATATTGCGACATTTGATTCACAGCTTATTTCTTTGCTAGAACAAGTGGACAAGAATCACAAGTAAGTGTAGTTTTGTTTGTTCTATTATTTTCAAACTAATAATAGTAATAATGCACATTTGGTGCTTTAGTGAAATAGTTTGGGGGGTTTTCTGGGGGGTTTTGGCTTGCATCTCCTTACACTAAAGCTGCTGAAAATAATGGGCTTGTTGAAATCTCAGGGGGTTTTAAGTTATCCACAGAAGGATACGGTAGCTAATCCATCACAGAGCTAAAACATATAGACATACATATAGAACATATATTTATTCACAACATTAAAGTGTGTATACAGTTTTCAGATGAACTCTGACCTTGGGTGGAGCTTTCTTGAGTAGCACCAGCAGAGCTTGAAGGACCAGATTTGAGAAACGTGGACCGATGGGCACATAGTCCAGCAAACGCTCAATGTCATCCACCACAACACAGCTCAGCTGAGACTTATAAGCATCATCAAAGACCTGAAACAAAGAGAGGAAGAGTGAAGACAGAAAGGCATTAATGCATGAGAAACGACAAGAAAACCTACAATTTTAAATGTAAACATCTGATTATTTAATGAACTGGTGTAAAGTCAAAAAGACACTGCTGCATTTACCTTTTTGATTGCCTGGCACTTGGAGATCTCTGAGTGTCCAATCATCTTGTCTGGAGAGCAAATCTTAATGAAGGGGAACTGTGAGTCCTCTGCAATCTTAGCTGCCAGGGCTGTCTTTCCACTGTGGGGTGGGCCTGTTGGAATGCAAAGGGGAAGGTACAGTTTGCTGCTGATGGATGGACATTTTTCTATTAATACTCCTCACAGGGGTACTAGCTGGATGTGTTTCTGACTTCTTACCCTCCAGTAAAACAGCAACAAGTGGTGTGCGATCACTGTTCTTGGTCTGCTGTACCAGCAGCTCTCCATCATCCAGAACATGAGTGACTGGGTCGCCCCATTTGATGATGCCATTCATGATGTAGCTGGAGTAGTCCTCCTGGTTGGTACCAAATGCCTTAGAAAATTTAAAGAAGTATTAGGAACATTGTTTTGCCTTTTTCATATCACTGGATTAAACTGTATTCATAACATAAGCTCATGACATCATCTCTGAAAACAGCAGAGACATACTGGTTTGATGTCATTGTTGAGGGATCCCATGAAGTCATCTCTGGTGACCTGCAGCTTCTCTGCCCTTTCCATGTCCACCTCAACTGTAGAGGTAGCCTGGAGATGAAATCATCACATTTAAATTATGACAAATTAATGGTGCAATGTCAACTCAATCCCCTGTCACTACTAATCTGAAATATCTACAAAAAACAAAAGTCAGTAAGTTTCAGATGAGCATAAAATCAACTAAGGAAAGCAGAGGAGCAAGTATACAGCTGTTGATTTACTGATTGATCTATGCTCCTACCCTCATCTATGGCCTTGAGCTGTGGGTAGTAGATGAAAGAATGAGGTCACTGAAATTAACCTCCACTGAAGTGTGTCTGGGCTCTCCCTTAGAGACAGTAATATATATGCATTGGGTGATATAAACAATGCATTGATGCCCTAAAGCAGGGATGTCGAACTCCAGGCCTTGAGGGCCGGTGTCCTGGAGGTTTTAGATGTGTCCTTGATCCAACACAGCTGATTTAAATGGCTAAATTACCTCTTCAACATGTCTTGAAGTTCTCCAGAGGCCTGGTAATGCACTAATCATTTGATTCAGGTGTGTCGACTCGGGGTGATATCTAAAACCTGCAGGACACCGGCCCTCGAGGCCCGGAGTTCGACACCCCCTGCCCTAAAGTGTATCAGTTGCTGTGGTAAACTGCATTTCTTGAACATAGACGCGCAGCAGCAAATCAGTAATTAAAATGAACTAATTAGAAAGTTGATCTCCATGATCATAACTACCTAAATTGGCAGAAAGCATATTTGTGCCATCCACTAACTTGGAGGAGGCAGGGTTTATGACCTATACTGCTGCCAGGCACCAAAACTGAAGTGACATCTTTGCTTCAGTTTTGGGGAGATGCTGTTGTCCATGATTTTTACAGCCACTGATATTTAAATCTGATATCTGATCTGTGTTTTAGACGAAAACTATTCATGTGGATGGTGTTTCTGCTTCGTCACTACACTGACACAGCGCTATGTATGCTTTGTGTATTAGGAAGTGCCTAGTGACCTTGATGTGCCGGTTCATGGCGGTTGACTGCGCAGCCCTGACCAGACCCTCCAGCTCTGCACCGCTGTAGTTCTTAGTTTCTGCTGCCAGTTCCTTGACGTTGACGTCAGAAGCGAGAAGGTTGAAGCTTCGCATCTTGTTGGTGTGGATGTTTAGGATCTGGACGCGTCCCTTTTCATCAGGAAGACCTAGAGATTAGAATGAGGGTTAAAAAAAAAAAAAAAGAGTAGGAAAGTTCATTAGTATACAGGCTTCTATTCAAAAACATTCGAGCTGAGCTTCCAACTAGCACTAGCCGTAGACAGTATAAAAGATGGATATAGCTTCTGGGTATTAAAATGGAAGCCAACATTCAAATCCCTTAAATGTGCATTATTTGCTCCCACCAGGGAGCAATGTCGGAGGTTACAAGAAGAACTGCAAGTCTTTGGGAGAACAACCTTCCTACTGAGTTCATGGTCTCAGTCACTCATACTGAATTAAAAATTAAGTCGGTTTTATAAGTCTTGGTTATACTCTTGTTACATCCAAGATGGCAACAGTAACAATACTCATTTCGTTGCTTGAGAAAGGGTCATCAAAAACTAGTGGGTGAAAGCACAGTAGCTACTGACTCTGGGCACTAGCTTGCTTTATGTGCTAATATTAACTAGCTAACAGAAATGCTTTAGCTACTGATTAGAGACACTTTAATGAAGCTTATGCCCCAAACTTCGTATTTTTTACGGTGCTGACTGAATTACACGGGTGCTACTGAGTACCACTTCACACTAAATCCATTGGTATCAAATTTTAGCAGCAGAGAGAGTTTGTATTTTGCATTAGACCCTGTGCACGAGAAAATGCTAACTTCCTGTTTTAAGACCGGATGTAGGGTTGTACATTTCCGGTAGCTTTATTTTGCAGTCAATCGCTACTGCGAAGGTGGACTCCAAAATCATGTCCAAAATACGAAAACGGAAAGATTACGTTAAGTTACAAAGAGCAGAGGGTGGGAACACTCACCATTGCTGTGTCATAAAAAATCTAATGATCAATTTTGATGTTTGAAGAGCGTAGCTCGATTGTTTGTTTACATCAGCGGTCTCCAACCTTTTTTTGCGCCATGGACCGGTTTATGCCCGACAATATTTTCACGGGCCGGCCTTTAAGGTGTCGCGGGTAAATACAACAAAATAAAACTAGTACCGGTACTGGAAAAAAAGAAGATTTATTCATAACACACATGAAAAGACCCAGGAAAACCAAGTTAACGATAAAAACGATAACAAAATAACGCTGAAAACCGATAAAAACCCTGAAAACCATACATTTCACACCTGAGCCTCAACTTTCGCGGCCCGGTACCAAACGACTCACGGACCGGTACCAGTCCGAGGCCCAGGGGTTGGGGACCGCTGGTTTACATCACTCAACACAAACTGCATTACTGCATGCAGAAGACACATCGTCCACATTCAGGAGCACATCTCTGTATAGTGACAGTTCTTATGATTTAAACAGGCAAATGTCCAGCATTCAAACTACAGGTGAACAATAGTCAAAGCCATATGTTTCCCCGTTATATCGATATCAGTACACAGCTACACAGCATGTCAACAAACTGAAAAAAAGCCACAGGATATAAGAAAAATACATGAATGATTGCGGGTAAGGGTCTCTATATATTAGCATTCACGAAGGGTATTTTACGACTTATCTTCACAATTACAGTGGTCCCTCGCTATAACGCGGTTCACCTTTTGCAGCCTTGCTGTTTCGCGGATTCTTTTAGTGCAGTTTTGCATGCTTTTTTTTTTTAAAGTGCATTGTGTTCTGCGTCCCGATTGGCTGTAGATCACTGTCGATCTCCTCCATGCCGTGCCGTGCTCTCCTGTACAGTACAGAATCGCTACATCGATCACTAGCAGTGTGACTCTGAAGTGCTGTACTGTACGTTTGTAAGTTTTCTCCCCAACAAACACAACAATGTTGATGAAGGCACCTGCGGTAGCACCCAAAAGGCAAAGGAAGATGCTAACCATCACAAAAAGTTGGACTTGTGGACATGCTAAAGGAAGGTAGAAGTTATCTTTTTTTTTTACCATACCACACAGGTGTGTGTGTGTGTGTGTGTGTGTGTGTGTGTGTGTGTGTGTGTGTGTGTGTGTGTGTGTGTATATATACACACACACACACACACACACACACACAATAAATGTTTGGGACTGAAAACAGGTTTTGATCTTTGGTTTCATTCTGTAATGGACTTTTTTTTTTAACGAAGGTTTGAACTTTAGAGAGTTTAAACAAGAGAGAAAAGTGTGAAACTGTTCATGCATGTCTAACAAAAGTGTATAAAGTGTGTAGTGAGGGGTTTTACAGTCTTAAAACATCTAAAATAATTGTAAAAAATAAAGCTGGCTATTTCGCAGATTTCACCTGTCGCTGGTTATTTTTAGAACATAACACCTGCAATAAACGAGGGAACTCTATATATAAAATACCAAGAAATTTCAATCCTTTCTCTCTTTTGCTCTGAGGCGCGAGGGAAAAATATCGACAAGTCGATGAACATCATCTATAGATATATTCGGTAAATGCTCAAGACATCTTGAGAAATGTAAATCGCCGCTTGATTCGTCCATTTGGTTGACTTTTTTTGGAAAACCCCACGGTAAACAAGCTGCGAATATCACACCGGAAACGAAGCGCCCTACAGGAGTTTCCCCACCGGAAGTAGCATATGCTAAGGCGCACATAGTCTATTGCTCAATAAAAAAAAAAGAAAAAAAGTTAGCAGCAGTGTACATCTGAGTTAAAGGGAGAAAGAAAGGAAGACCATGTGACATCACTCCAGGGCAAGCTGAAAGCCGTCTCACGTGTGGTTACACTTTTCAAAACCCAGTGTGTAGTGCAAAATACGAAAGCTGACCATGGCAACACATCTAATCTGTGGAAACACCGAGTTCACCGAAGGACCTGCTGCTAACTGTAGTATGTCTGATGCTAACTAGATTTTTAAAGAGGGGTGTAGTAGGATCAGGGCCATGAGCTATAGACAGGAGAAACAGGGACTACTTTTTATGGATAAAGTTGTTCCATTTGGCATGCACACTGTGTTCTGTGGATTGTTCAGAGTAACAAAGACCCTTTTTTTAGGAAGAGGAGCTGCGGTTGGATTTTCAAAATGTTATTCAATTAAATGGAAAAAAAAAAAGATTATGTTAACGTGGCATGCCTCTACATACCATCAGGAGAAAGCCAGGACAGTACGTTTATTTAAAGAAGAAACATTTTTTCCAACACTGATTTTCCTGACACAATATGTACTTTGTACTGTGACGTCTTATAGGCCGAGTATAATGAAATGTGTTTGTGTCATTCAGAAGCTTAAAGGTGGTTGCCTTATTTTCCATTTACCTCAATGATTGGATAAGCCCGGGTTTACAGTAATACTACTACTGCAGCCACAAAACTACAAACTCTGAAATAATCCACATGTAATCCAGTTTATATGCCAGAAAAATATCATCATGGTTCTGCTGTGGAAATGATGCTATTTGGATTTAGCTGACATTTTAATGGTTTGGATTAATGGTGCCCCACCTTATAGCAAGCCATTCAAACGAGCACACTGCATCACATTTTATTCCACGTGTGCCTGAGACTTGTACCCAAATGAGGATCAAGTATTTAGAGAGAAAATGCAATCTCACCGATTTCCATTTTCACCTCAAACCTGCCGGGTCTCATCAGGGCGTCATCTATCAAGTCAGGCCTGTTGGTCATACCTGGAGAGAAGGAGCGAAGGCAAGATAACTGTGAACCCAGAAGAATTCATGCTGTTAAAGATGCTACACTGCATTAACTAAATTTATTGTTTAATATGGATAAAATGGTTTTCCCAGCTTTCATGGAAATAAAAAAATGATTGTTGTTGACTCATATAGGCCTCTTATGTGTTCGAACGTAAGGGACTCCTTCTCTCCAACCATTACATATATTTTAAAGCTAACAATGGGTTCAGTCATTTCCTCTGATGCTACTTACCAATGACCAAGATGTTGTTAAGCTGCTCCACGCCGTCAATCTTGGACAGAAGCTGGTTGACAACAGTGTCGTGCACGCCTGTGCTGCTGGCGCCCGTTCCTCTCTGCTTGCAGATGGCGTCCAGCTCGTCAAAGATAATGATGTGAAGGCCACTGTTAGCGCCCAGCTGAAAGTCCGAATAACTTTGTAAGTTGTGTATTTATTTTTAGATTAATACAAGTACAGAAAAAAACACCAAGTATTACTTACCCTCTTCTGTTCCTCCTCAGCCTCGGCGAACAGTTTGCGGATGTTAGCCTCAGACTCTCCCACGTACTTGTTCAGGATCTCTGGGCCGTTGACGACCTTCGGCTCGCGGGCGTTGAGCATCTTGCCAATCTGCCTGGCCATCAGCGTTTTGCCACATCCTGGTGGTCCAAACAGCAAGATGCCCTTCACGTGCTTGCAGCCTGGAAGAAGGAAAGTTGACGGCATGATGAATGTTAAAGGGACAGAGGCAGAGAGGAAGAAGGAAAGAAGAAGAATCAGAAAGAAGAAAAGGCAGACGTAAAATAAAAGAAAGAGATGGGGCAGGAAAGACAATGGGAAGGACACTGAAGATGTCAGATGATGCCAGACATGCTATGAAGTTGTCCAATGTGTTCAGTGCCACAGGGAGGAGACTAGATTCATAAAATGGGCTGTAAAACCAATATAAATGCTTATTTTCTGTGTGTATCATGAATAAAATAAAGGGTATGGTACAGGTACTGTGGTTTTGTTCTTTCACTCTGTTATTGCAGTATATATTATTTTTTATTAGCATGGGGAATACACACAGTACATACAACATGCTGAGGTTTTCCCAGCAATGTTTGATCCATAACAAGTCACAAGCTGCTTATGTTGCATTTTTTAGGTCTTGCAAAAACAATAGAAACAGATACATTTTCTCACCATCAGCCCATTAAGGAATGGGAAACAGAGGTTAAGATGCAAGAAATACTCCAAGAAAGACAATCACTCTAGCTTAGTACAAATGAGAGAATGGTTCCTCACCCATCTGCTCCACAATGTCAGGGGGAAAGACTCGGGAGGCAAAGGCTCTGCGGAAAATGTCTGAGAATTCCTTGTCCAGACCACCAATTCCCATCTTTTCAAAGTTCCAGTCTGGGTTGATGATTGTCTGTCGTGCCTCCTTGGTCTTTGCCTTGCCTGTTAAAACATAAAGGGGAACGATGCTCAGATATAAGGAAAAGTCAGTGAGGAAAAAAAGCATTGAAGCTTTTCTTGTGGGCAGAGGTGCTGCATAGAAAATGCTTTTTTCTGAGAATGTGTTCTTGCTGCCATCTTGTGGAGCACTTGTATTTATACTGACATGAATTGTTAGTACAGCTTGAATTTGCCTGTGTTTGCAAAGCTTTTTTTTTTTGTTCATGCTTGCTATGAGCAAACTACAAGACAGAACGTACCGACTAGTGTGAGGGATGAATTCTCAGCCTTCTCAAAAATCACCTGGCTGTTGCCCACCATCAGACCAACGTCGATCTGTCAGAGATCAGAGTTAGGGTCAATACTTCTTATGTGAAAATTGGCACATTATAGGTAGCATAAGGATTCGCTTGTATTTTAGTCAAATGCTAAATAATCATGGTTTCACAAACTAGAAGATGTTGCTTTTCAAATCAACTGCTGCCACTAAGTTTTGTTTGGGGTAGGGTTAATGTCCACTGTTTTTAAACAATTTTGCCAATAAAGCATGTGGCTTAACTGTCTGAGGTCTACAGTGGGGCAAAAAAGTATTTAGTCAGCCACCGATTGTGCAAGTTCCCCCACCTAAAATGATGACAGAGGTCAGTAATTTGCACCAGAGG